CCACATTGATTTCAATTTAAGAGCCACCAGTAGACAGCTGTTTTAGCTTATTGGGAATCGTCAGTACCGGGCAGGCGGTCCCCGATTGAAGACAAAATGTAAATAACCAAGAAAATTACTTGATGAAAATAACTGCGTAAACGCGAATGAGGGGAACTGAAACTCTCCATAAGCTTTTGCGAAACATGCCACCGTGGACCAGCCTACCCAAGCTAAGGTGTAAGGAATCGTGCCGACAGCTGAATGGCCGCAGGGTGATATGAGATTACGAACGATCCCCTTGGGGAAGCGGGCGAAACCTCATAGTAATCAGCCTTCCTCAGGTAATGCGGGTCTCTACCAGAGGTGACCAACTCTTTCCTTGCTACTCGTGGGAACACACATATATGAAACAAACAAACAGAAACAACAAAAACAAAAACCAATCGAGGCTGGACAGAAGTGCTCACCTCAATCTACGGTGGTGGCTGGGGATGAACAGAAATGTCTACCCCAATCTAACGCTCGGAATGAGGCTGGACACAGCATAACACTTTGTGATGTAATACAAAGGCGGCGCATTTGCGGCGCCGATACCAAAAAGAGGAAGAGAGCGATAGAGGTAGGAGTGGCAGCAACTATAAGTTGCTCCACTCTACTCCACTCTCTCCACTCTCTAGGAGTGGCAGCAACTATAAGTTGCTCCACTCTACCTCCAACAGCAAGGGCAGTTCCTGCGGCGGGCGCCAAAATCTCCGCCTTGAATAAAGGCAAGGAACCGGCTGCCCCTGTAGGAAAGCGCCCTCATTTGAACACCTCCATTAGGGGAACCCCAGGAAGGTTGAAGAAGCCGTGAAATGACAGTAATGTCGCCGCACCTTCCAAAACCTTCGCGGAGGCCGCCGTGAGATACCTCAAGGTTGCTAAAGAGAGTGTGTGTTCGGCGAATCTTGGCCTACACCTGCTAATACAAAAAAGATGTATCCTAGTGACCTGTCCACCTTCCTGGAAAGAACAAGATGGACGATGACCTAGGAGGACAAGTCCTCGGGAGGCTGTACAATGGGTCACATGTGGCCTGAGTGCTGTGGGTATACACTCACCCTCCCTACTATATACATATACAAGTGTACATCGCAAATGCTGGAACTGCTAAAATCAGTAATTTTAAGACTGTCAGTTAGCCTAGTAATTCCTGTTTCAGAATGAATATTCTATCGACACTGATAGTGATATTGACACTGATGAAGGTACAGTGATCATTTTCAGGCAATCTAAAATATGTTTCATCATCAGAAAAGTATAGTAGAAACTTTTCACAAACACATCTCCAGAATCCCAACTTTTACTACTATCAATATAGGTTCCAAACTATGTGTTCCTTAAATTCATTACATGACTATGAGCTTTTACCGGTCGTTATTCCATGATAACATATTGAGCTTTGAGAGAAGTAGAATTTGGAATGTAGATTCCAATAACAGTTATATTTTATACGGTATAGAATAACAGGTCAGAGTGAGTCCATGGATACAGTTAGAAGCGATTGTTGAGGAGAAATCCAAAATTTCATTGTCATAGGGGATAATCATGGAGGGATACCAAATGCAATAGTCGAAAATCTATGTGTAGATGAAGCTGACAAGAATACGTATGTGGAGGACAAAGTTCCCTGGTATAGGAAGAAAGTAATAACCCAGTCCATCAAAACCTACTTTCTGATGATTGTTCAGAACGAATTCACATGGGGACGATTCTCCTAAGAAATTAATGAATTGCTATTTCGAAAAGGATCGTAGAACCCAAATCTTCAACAACAAATTGCTATATCTTTAGGGTCCTTCATTATTTCATTATAAATGGAATTTTTTGCTCCCTGTTTGAATTGAATAATTTTCTGGTGACACTTCTCAAATGAATCTGAAATTTTCAATATATTTCTATTCCTTTCACATTCAACGAGTAGTCCCGACAAATCTTCTTCGCTTTCCTCATAGGTACATGAGGTAACCATCCGAAAAGAATTCAATTCTCAAGAAGTGAATGATTTCGATTTGGTTCCGCCTCCTTAACAGTAACCCCAAGAAATTATTTTTACTTCTGCCATATGTTCTCAAAGTATTCACACAAATATTCAAAATGAGCCAAGAGGATAATGAAGGAGTCTCAAATTATTGCCAATTAGAACTCTCCAAAATCTGAAGGATTTCGATTTTCAAGAACAAAAAAATGATAATTAGAACGAAAATGAGTTAAATCCTTTGAATTCCTCTCTTCAATTGTCAAAATGTTTGTAGTTCAACTCTATCTGATCATCAGAACGAGAACACACTTGAGCGACCTTCAAACCTTCATATAAGTCGAATTAAGTCACATCTAGAGTATGGCTCATGGAGCTTCGTTTAGGCACCATAAGGCCGATGGATACTACAGTACAGCATAAACAGACGCTGAAAAAGTTGTTTGATAGTAATGAGCTGTAGTTGTTTTGTAGTAATGAACTGAATAATTATTTACCATGGTAAGGTGTGGTGACCCTCTATACGCCATCCATGAAGAAGGTTGCCTGATTCTGAAGATATAAGGGCTGAAAGTTTCGATATGTAGAAAATTCCAGATCAGTTCAGAACATTCGAGAGTGTTCAGAAGCATTTCGTTGTGTGGTAGTTCTCCATCTGCCTCGCATGAAGAAGGTCCACGTTTATTCCTGAAGGGCGTGATTTCGAAGATATGGAGGCATAGAAGTTCCGCCCTATATAAATGAGTCCACCTATTCATTGAAGAAGGTTTACTATTCAAACCGTATCCTGTCATTCCAACTACCATACAATCAGCTATCAACCCCTTTGGGTAAAACCAGGCACCCCAGTTAGTAGTTATGTTTGATTCCTTTGATAGTTTTTTTTCATCTTCAATAATCCTTTACTCAAGAGTCTACCCTTTCTTGTATACATTTTTTATCGACTTGGTGGAACTCGAGTTGTTTCCAGACACTTTTTGAAATTCTCGCAGAACAAACTTTTCCAGACAGACCAGTGTAATCTGCTGAATGACTTCATCCTGAGATATGTTTATTCCTGCCTACAAAGTGTCACTGACAAATCTTTCGAGATACTGGGTTCTCTCACCACAGAGAGCCTTGTCACGGTGGTGCATGGCTCTGGCATAATAGATCTCTTTCCTAGTGAAACCCTGTATGGGCCATGAAGTATTCAAAGGACACGACCCTGTGTCTACAGAGGTGATGGACATCGACTGAACGAACCCAACTTCCCCCCATTTTTAGTTCTCCAGTATTCCAGCTGAATCCGCAGAGGAGATCAAACACTTCCAATGATCGGGTCAAGAGTAGTAGCTTTTTAGTTCTGCCACTTCTGAGCCTAGAAGGTTAAGCGGTGCGGCAGAAGCAGAATCTGTTTCAAGGAAAAGAGATAGGTTCTTCAAATGCTCATGCTCAAACAATAATTCACCCAAATCAGAGGCAAAAGAGCCCCGTATGATTGGCATACAGATGTTTTCATGTGAGAAAGTAGCTGCGAGCATCAAGATGAGAATCTTGAACTTTCAATATCAACAACTTCAATAAGGTGAGATTCCAAAGCTGAACATTCCGGCCTGGAGCCCGGCAGCGTCTTACTGAAATACGTCACAGGAAACCTACTTCCCAAGCTACATATTTGTGGCTGTCGAATATAATCACAGACTGACTACCGATCAGATTGACGAAAATCTACAATGACCTGTTGAAGTGGATAAATTTTCATGAGGAAATTCAGGTCCTCGTAGAAGAGCACCAGTTCTGTGTCTGTCCCACAGGATCATAATTTCAGTGTCTCACTTTTGCCAGCTGACCTGAAAATATACTTTCTAAATGAAGTAATCGGCTTCCTTGAGAAACTGAATGTTTTTGGTAGAGCTTGAATAGGTGTGAGTCACAATAATCCCTCGCTCACAATTGTTTTTTGAAGTAAAAGTGATTCCAATGCAGTGGGATCACAAGAAACCTGTATCCTGCGAAGTATCATTACTCCAACTACCTTCAAGAATTTTCAGCAGGTCATGAAAACCTGTTTCCAATTGTTCCAAAATTATCCGCAAATCCATATCGCAAATTTACATAAGGTCTCATGCAATGTTTTGCAAATATTCACCCCAAATAAAAAAGTATGAACAACCGAAAGATTTCAACAACGATTTTCCAATCACTGCAACTGTAGAGAAAATATGGTAAGAGAGTATCGCACGGTTGTATTATTTATATAGACAATACACGCGTTTCAGGTATGTTCTTCCTTTTTCGAGCGATATTCGTACTTTATTTTACCACCTATATGAGTGGAGGGTGGATGTTTTATTCAAGGAGTAGCTTTCAGAGCTTTATGAAACAGTGATTCTTGTAATTGTATTTCTTGAATAAAAGGGTCTTTCGTCTGTAAATGCGGCTTTTAATATTCATTCAGAGAGCAGAAACTCCGCATTGTCGAGTGTCAGTTTTGAGATTTTTTATTACGCAGGTTGATGTTGCCGTCTTTCATTGCCAAGGATACTCTTAAATTCGCGAAATATGAAACAAGAGAGTAGCAGTAGTGTAATAACAGCAGAAATATGGAAGTTCAATAACATGCTATGAAAATCATTAAAATCGAAATTTATTCATAGACGTATTATTTATTATAGATAGGTACACAATGAAAATTCGTACTTTTTCGTTTTGGAAATTTTTGTATTGCCGTAATCCTTCTTTCAAAGTTTATTTCTCCCTAATCAATTATAATTCGTGATATTTTTATAATTCTCAATCCTGGAAGTAACGAAAATATCAGTTTGTTGTATAATTTGGTATGAATAAATAGTATCTCAATTCATTTACCATCTTGAACGCGTTGGCTTTGCTTCTATGAAGAAATAATACGATCGAACACTCCTGAAGACGTTATTGAATTTGGTTCATAAATGAAAACGATATATCAATTCCAACAATAACGAGAACGAAGACGTATGAGAGGATAAACCATACTTACATATATCTAGCTCCAAGTTTCGGGTTTTCCAACTTTGGTATTGGAGTATGTGCATCGATATCCAAGGCAATACTGTTCTCATCAGAGCTGGATTTAGTATTGACGATAAACTTCTCATTGTTCGATGTATCAATCTGCAACAATATGTCAACTATTTTGTATCATGCACCTGTTATAGTATATGTCATGAAAAACTGATTCATCGTTCAGAACTGTTTAAATAACTGAATTTCTATCAAAAGATAATTATTCAAGTGTACAAGTGTAACTGAAAATATCATATCGGAACATACCCGAGAAATCATTCTAAATTATTATGGCAGTTCATCCAGCAGTTTTTTACTATTGAATAATCAATTATTATGAAAGTGCTGTCTTTCCAAGCGCGTTTCGCTAACCAAGTAAACATCATCAGTGGATAACTGAACATGATCAACTGGCTATGTCCGGATTCAAACACTCGTAGTTGACGGTAGTCCAAGTTGGCTGAAAACTCCGAAATGTCTGTTTTGTTCGAACAGCTCCATTTTTATTACAGCTTCAGACTGAGAATAACAAAACAATGACAAACGACAGTATCGGTTGTTTCTCTGAAGTTATATTGCTAACAGAATTTGAATGCAAAACAGCTCAATTTACTGATACATTTACACTAATATATTCCTACCGTTCTATAGTACGTGGACTTATTACGAAATATAAATAAATTGTAATATTTCGTATCCACGAAACATGTTTGTCTTATGATTACTTCTTTACGAATTGAATTATTCGTAAATTTTTCATTATGAACACATAATTGATGAAGGTGATAATTCTGCTCCTGCCCACAATGAAATATTTGAATTTTTAGGTTTATCAATTTTCATTGACTCCAAATAATTCAGTTTCAAACCTTTATTTTCTATATGTAAAATTTCAAAATCTTCATTAAAGATATGGTTTTCTTCTAGAAGATGATTTGAATATCTTGAACTTGTTTTCTCATTTACATAACTTATATGATGTTCTTGGATGCGGTTTCTAAATGTCATGCCAGGTTGACCAATATATACCTTAGGACAATTTCCACAGTTCAATTTATATGCTCTTGATTTCTCTAATTTGGATGTGTTGTCTTCATTATTATTAATTAACTTTCCCAACGTATTACCTGTTCTAGATGCAATGTTAATATCTTTATTCAAAAATGAGGCAACTATTTCTGTTGTTCGTTCAAAATATGTTATAGTTTTATAATTTTGATTATACGACTCATCAGTAGGAGAAATCTCCCAAATTGCTTCATGCTATTACAAGATGATATTTTGAATAGTATTATCCGTATGAAAAGTTTTGTGATAGTTGAAAAATAAATATACATATACAAAACTGGTATACGTGAATACAATTTTCTTAGTTGTTTGTTGCTTGAAGTATCAATAATTTTCAATGAGTTTGTTGTATTCAAAGCAGATTTTTGTTTGCAACAACTACAACCGTTTACCCTCATGAGTTTTGTCGGAGATACAATGTTTTTTTTTCTGAAACTACTCCATGTTCAGATATGGAAACGTGTGAAGATTTCTGAAAATTTCTCTGTTTTTCACATTCAGCTCGTAGATGAAAAATGAAGCCAATGGATTAGATAATAAGTTGGCCTTTAGTCCATATGAGACCGACTTGTTAACTTATTAACTGCAATATTTTCAATCAACTATCTTTGTTTTGTGGCAACTTATTGAGATTATTAGTTGTTGAATAATTACTTCGTCAGATAAATTCATTTGTTCAAAATCTGATATTCGTCAACCACTGCTCAGTAATTTCCTACATCATAAACACCCTTCTGATACATGCACACCAGAAATGCAACACTCATCAACCAAGTTGACGTCGTCAGGACAGACACTGTCTTCATCTAGTTATTTTAAAAAAAGTGTGTAAGTTCTGGTGTGTGTGTGTGTGTATGTGAGAGCCGTGTTTTATTGGATTCATTCTTCTCCAGAAGTTTGATTGTATCTTTCAGAAATCATTTTTTGTTGTATCAATTCATCGCATAGCATCAGTGCAATCTATATCTGTATATAATCATAGATTCATCCTTATAACAGCGTATTATAATCAGAAAAGAAATTACGGTTAATCGTAATTTCGTCTCCGAAAAAATCAACAACCTAGGTCTACGTGGCCCAGTGAACGACTGGATAACGTCCTTTCTTGAAGATCGGAAGATCATCGTGAGAATCGGTGAAACCAAATCGAAGGAATACGATTTAGATCTTAGAACACCGCAGGGAAGTGTCATGGGTCCCTTGATCTTCCTTACCTATGTCAATGACTTGCCTCATAACATAAAAATTTAATGATAAATACCTCCACTTTCAGATCCCAATCAAATACATCGACTGTGTGCAAATCCGCATGGAAACGAAGGAATTTTTCTGAGTGTTGAATGCTGCCGACTAATTCGTATCTGTCAAGTGAAGTCGGACTAAGCTGGTAGTCAAACGTTAAGGGAGGGCTGTTGTCCTTTGGGGAAAATTTCGTGGAAACTCTTGCCGGTATATTTCCTATTAAATCTGCGTTTCCCGTTATTATTAACAGCTTGTCTTTGAATTTCAAATAGCCGTCGAATTCCCTCCTGCTTTCAGATGGTTTCAGAATTTCGCAGTGAACCGTTACTGGGTACCTAGAAAGAGAAATTTGGCGTCAAATGAGTAGTTCATTTTTGTCTGTTCAAAATAACAACCGCAAAACAGAAAATAAGGTACGCACATACGATGTTATATGGTTGTGGGAAATGACTGAGAATTATCTTAACAATTCCTATGAACGTACATAGTCAAATATCTTTACGATATGCCTTCACTTTTGAAATTCAAATACCTGGATAGTTCTGGAATGATCGCAAGAGAGCTGGGTTGATATTATTCCATTATACACCTCAACAATAATGGATTCTACACAATTGCATATGCAGATGACATAGTTATCATAAAGACCGGCAAATTTGTTAACACATTGTGCGATAGAGCGCAGGATGGGCTCAAATTAATAGAAACGTTGTGTAAGGAACACTGTCGATCAATCCCAAGAAGACTGAGATGGTCCTTTTCACCAGGTAAATAAGTTTATCGGGCTTAAAACCTCCCGAAATCTTCAGAAGCAAACTAAACTTCTCTGAAGAGGTGAAATACCTTGGTACTATCTTCGACAGGAAGCTGGCAAGGAACTCTCACCTACAGAGTAGAGCAAAGAGAGCATATGTGGCTTATGAGCAATGTCGGAGAACAGTGGGACGCGCATGGGGTCTTTCACCCCGAGTGGTTCACTTGGATCTACACTGCAATAATAAGACCTATGTAAACGTACGGAGCCATTGCATGGGGACAGACCGTTCTACAAACAACGGCCATCAAAAAGTTATATCAAATACAGCGATTGACTTGTTTAAACATCACAGGAGCCATGAGAACAACACCAACCGCGGCAATGGAATTAATTACTGGTCTGACCCCTATAGACCTGTACGTTAAGGAGGTTGCGTTAATGGCCATGTTACGATTGGGCACGGCTGGTGTGAACCTTGAAGTCTCGCCTATGGCGAGAAGCGCTTACTGCGCAACCTCTGCTGCAGGCAACCAGTGATGCAATTGAACCCAGGTTTGTGTTTGATAAACCCTACAAAATACAAATGAAACAGAACACAGAGTCAGATGCTACAAATGCAATACGCGTATATCCAGACGGCTCAAAAACCAAAGAAGGCTCAGGATGTGGAGTGTACTCCAGATCACTAAGCCTAAGGATTAAGAGGGGAATGGAAAGAAATACCAGCGTGGTCCAAACAGAACTGGATGATATCTCAATCGCCACAAAAGAAATAACCAAGAAAAGAATTTCTGGCAAAAACATAACAATCTGCACTGATAGCAGACAAGCACTATTAGCCTTGAACAGACAACGTGTTACCTCAGGGATAGTACTAGAGTGCCACCAAGATTTAGTCAAAGCCTCGGTAGACAATAACATCATCCTGAGGTGGGTTAAAGGGCACGACAGGAGTAAAGGTAATCGCATTGCCGACTCTTTAGCCAAGGAAGCGGCTGCCCTAAGAGTTTTAGGACCCAGTGGCACTTTGTGACCTTATCTTTCATGTAATACAAAAATTATAATAGATTTACTCGAAAGATAGGCACAATGCGTACGGCAGCTCTTCGTCGGTATACACTATGGGTTTCGTTCAAAAAAACTTTTCTGTATCCTGAAATTTCAGCAATTGGATATTTTGTTTTATAAAGATTTAAGTTGAGGGCCACACAGTTGATAAATTGAATGATACATGATCTGGTCGACTGTGAAACCGAATCTAATCAAGGTTAGTTCTTCAAACCACGGCAGTGGAATGAAACTATAAAAATCAGATATTCTGAAGATACTTGACATTCACAAAATACTGGCTGGTGAATTGAATGAGGGTAGAAATAAAAATCTGAATGTACTCCAAATTTACCGTTTGATCATGTGTAAAACGAATTGTAATAACTCAATAATGATCGTAGCTGTAGCTGCAGTTTTCTCCCACCAGGAACGGGACAGACTTGGAGCACGTACTTTTCTAATTTTCAAAATGGACTTCAGACTATCTTGTGGACGTGAACAATAACATTTATCGAACTGGACTAATGAAAAACCCACCATTCGGTAAATTAACTGAAAATCTATTCCGTAAGGCAATAAGAGATAGAAGTCCTTGTTCTTCCCTCTTTAATGATTCCAAACAAGTTCTGTAGAAGCTCTTCTGCAGAAAAACTATACCCTGATACCTGATACCCTGAAAAAACAATTTCCATAATGGAAATTCATCCAAAAGTTCGATTCACTAAAAGGTGAATCTCATATGCAATTGAAAGGATCAAAATGAATTTCCTTACCTTCCTAAACGAAGGGTTCCGTTAACCAAAAAAATCACGAATAACGTTTTCAAAGAAATGGCGTCGCTCGTTCTGGAAAAGTGGTTGTGACCCACTAGAATCCTCAGGAAGTGCAACCTTTTTGTGGAATTCTCAAAATCTATATATGAAACTATATCCGAAACGATATCGTTCAAATTCTTGAAAATGGACCACATGGCTCACCACTGAATATATCCCTTCTCGGGATTCTCGTTCATCCCTTCTTTTTCCAAAATGGCACAACTTCTTGACGTTCTCATGATCAAGGATCACCATCACCTACAGCGCAAGTCCATTCTGAGGAATTCACCCAAATAATTTTGGCAACACCTCATTCCTGACTTTACGAAAATAGGAAATCTACCTCGAAGGGATCCGATTGAATCGGTTCTTTCGGAAAAAATAACTTATCCATCTGTACCAGAAACTAATTGTTATATGTGTATTGGGAAGTGAAAATCTCAGCGAGGTAAAAGGTGTAAATTGGATTGCCTACTCCTCAGGAAACTTTCTTTAAAATCAATTAGGATTACCTTCGGTGAAATGAAAATTAAATGAAAAGTACAGTAGTTTTTAATGAAAGCTACAACGTACGGCCTACTACCACGTCGTAACGGCTACATCCATCAATTTATATCGCATTCAGAAGTAGGCATAGATTTGACAGAATAAAAAATTCTGGCAAACTTCTTTTGTCAACTTTCCGTTGTTTACAAATGTCTCGCAACTCATGTCTGTTTTATTTTTAACGAACAAATTAACTAACAAGTCTTAAAATATGTTTAGCACCAATTATCCACAAGTCAGAACGTCGTAAAGTTATGTTATCAGTCCCAAATTTTACATATACTTTAAAAAAATACTCTCATGAATTACCTCGCTCCGTTGAAATTCAAATCGGACTTCGCTGTAAGAATCCCATTCTCTAATTCCGCGTTCACTTCCACTTCTAATGGACTCATTTGTAAGATGGTCCATACGGTGGATCTTGCATCAGAAATGTATACATCTACACCAGCTGTGGTATTTTCTAAACCACTAAAAGGAGTCTCCACTTGTATCGCAGAGCGAAATTCGCTTCGAGATTTTATCAGCCAAGATGTCTTCAAGTGAATCTACAAAAATAAAAAGTAAAACGGAGTTGAGAAGGAAAATGTAGTCTGGGGAATTGAATTGTTTACGTTGGATAGCGATCTGGATATCTAGGAAATTTACCTGGAATAACTCGCATTGAAATGATATGATTATATTTGTGTAAAGCATGAGTGATATAATTGGAGACGTATAAAGCATAGGCGCATATTCAGCTATCAGAAAAATAAATGCAGGCTTCAAATTGGAAATCATCCAGGTTCTACATGAACTTTCAACTTGGAAAAATGTCGTTCAACAAAAGCATGAGCAGAGGGGAAAATTCAAGACGCACCATTTTTATCAATTCATATACCAATTCACTAGATTTTCACCATTTAACTGAAACTATAAATATTGCTGCTACAGTCTTGAAAAGCAATCCTTCATTTTTTCAAATTTTCATTAAATGCAATCGAGGTCCTCTTCATTGTTCAACTCCACTTTTAGTATACTATAGTAGTAGTATACTATAAAAATAACAATAAAAATCAAAAATTAATAGGCGCTCCGGGGCGACTTCATTGATTCCAGTGGCGCATTTGCTTTTTCAGCTGCAGGAAAACCCGGAAAAACGTGCAGCACCACATCATCTGGAAATATTCCTCTGTCAATGTCCTCTCTCTCACTCTCTGATTAAACTATTCTTTCGACTCAAATCGTAAATGTCGTATTGTCGTTAACATCCTTATCTCTATCTCTATCATCATGGATTTGTATCATTCTTTCGGTATTCATATCGCGTTGATACAGCTCCGCCCGAGTCCACTTCACTACTCCAACGAAGTGAAGTAAGACCGGAATGGCAGAAACTTTGTTCTACCTTGACGATTCCAATGACCAGATCTGTCGGAGTTTGTGCTGATACTTGCTGCGGAAAGAGTGTTACACTGCTGCCCCTTGTGAGTGTCCTCGACATCCAAATGGTGCAAGATATTTCCATCTACGAGCTGCACATCCTCTTCATAATCCCCGCAAAGATAAACCGTTGCACATTTGTCTATCCCGAATTTCATACCGCTAGCTCACGTGTACTCTTCTACCAACCCCAAGGAGTGACAGAGATCCTCTTCTCCAGAGATATTAAGTTCGAGGTCATCCATAGAAAACAAACGAATATCGGATGCCTCCGATTTTCACAGTTATACCCTGGAGTATTTCTGAGCGCAACGGATTATGGCAACAGTGGTATGCAGAAAAGAAGAGGAGCAATGGAGTCACTCTCAAATAAACTCTGAGAATGACCCGCTTTGTTTAGACTCTGGCCTGACCAGATATTATGGTGTGTGAAGCAAGTCCTCCAGAGTGTTTTCAGTTGTTCCACACACCTCACTATTATGTGTGCGAATGCAAAATGAGCTATAATTATAATTATTACCATCAATATTATTGTTACTATTATCATTATTTTATAATAGAATACTTTGGCTTTCGAATATCGTTTGTTTCTTTGGTGGGCTGAGAATTTTTCAATACATTCTCATATACTAACAAAATACTTTGGGCTACTTTAGCTCCCTCATTGAACGTGATCGAATATACACACCGTCAAAGAGAGTCATATACGTTGGTTTGTTGACAAATCCACTTACCGCACTCTGCAGCTTCTCTGGTATCTGTAAGTTCACTTCCAAGTTGTTATTTGAGCGTGAAAATAATTTAGTTAATTTCAGCTGACATACAGGAATGTTCACCGATGGAGTCTTTACGTGGAATTGAGACGTTACTTCCAGCAAACCGTTGTCAATCTGAAAAGGTAAGTTCATTATCAAAATTAATGTGTCGAAATGAACTGGAAATCTTGTAGAGGGAGCTTTGTAGGATGAACAACGATTATTTGGGAGAACTCCCTAGTCTTATTCAGTGCTCAATTCAAAAATTGAAATGAATTTTTGTTGAATAGGTTAAAATATTACATTCATTTCAATTGATTCAGTTTTATTCAACTAAACTCAAGTGGTTATCCTGAGAGACAATTACCTGCATGATGTTGATGTGGCATATAAAAAATTCTTACGTAAAACCGAGGAAGAAATACATATCAATCCCAACAGATTTCAGTCATTTATGAATAATAAACGAGGTAGCTCCAAAATATCACAAGTACTGAACTTTGAAGGTCAATTGCTGGAGGGGCCCTTTAATATCGTAAACGGTTTTGCCAATCTTTTCAAACAATTGTATACCGCTTCTTCCCCTTTTCGACCAAACTCTAATATTGATAATAATCACTTTCTTGATATATCAAGTTTCAGTGAAAACGAAGTATACGAGGCACTAAGGTCGCTCAAGCCTAAAAAGACCACTGGTCCAGATGACATTCCAGCTTTCATCCTAAAAGATTGTGCACTTGTGCTTGCTCGTCCTCTATCTATATTAATTAATATCTGCTTGAGATCGACTACAATACCAAGGATTTGGAAATCATCAAAAGTCTGCCCCATTTTTAAGAAAGGAAATAGACGAGATATTTCAAATCATCGGCCTATCTCTATTATTTGCAACTTTGCAAAGGTTTTTGAGATTCTGTTGGAGCGGAGATTCGGCATGTTAGTTGCAGTATAAGCATGAACCAACACGGTTTTATGAAAAATCGTTCAACGGTCATCAATCTTCTGACTGTAACCCAACATATTGCTAAATCTATTGACAATAGGGCCCAAACTGATGTTATTTACACAGACTTTTCTAAGGCCTCCGACAGGCTTGACCATGGCATTCTACTAAACAAACTAGTAGCCTTTGGATTATCTCCATCCTTTATCGCACTCTTTCAGTCCTATCTACGGGATAGAAAACAATATGTTCAGCTCAATGGTTTCAAATCTACCGAATATAGTGCTTCTTCCGGTGTTCCACAAGGTTCAATTCTGGGATCGTTGCTCTTCCATATATTCATTAATGATATTGCAGATGTTATAGATGTGTATTTCCTTTTGTAAGCCGATGACCTAAATATATACTGCCTCGTTGAGAACATAGATGATTGTGTGAACCTCTCAGCAAACGTAGGACAGGTTGTAGAATGGTGTTATCGAAATAACTTGTCACTGAACCCGGATAAATGTAAGGTCATGTCCTACAGTTTGAAAACGAATATCTTGATCTTTGATTATTCAATAGAAAACGTTTCCCTGGTGAGACCAGAAACATTTACTGATCTTGGCGTCACATTTGACGCCAAATGATAGTGCACATTTAATAGGCATATCGATAATGTTGTAACCTCCTCCTGTCGTTTGTACGGATTAATTTCACGTAACAGTAGTGATTTCAAAGAAACTTCGACCTCAAAAACTTTATTCTATGCTTTCATAAGATCAAAGTTAGAATACGCGTCAGTTGTGTGGAGCCCCTTTTATCAATATTACATTGATAGAATAGAAGCAATTCAACAACGATTTTTGAAACTGCTAATCCTAAAAACCGATGGCATTTATCCTCCAATAGGAACAACCCACTCTGAATTGCTAAAAAAGCATAACTTTTGCAGTCTCGGAAAAAGGCGTGAACATTATAGTGTTGCACTAACCTATAATAGTATATTATGCAACGATCATGTAATGATGGTTATTAAGACACGAGCATTAACCGGGATACGAAACGAGCCGAAGGCGAGTTTTGTATGGTATATGCGAGTGTATTAATAACCATTACATGAAAGATACCCCGAGAACGGTTTGTAGGTGAACAGATATTTGTAAGATATGTATAAATATCCATCGTGGTATCAACTGGAAAAGTAGTTTTTCAGAAGGCATTTTCCACATCCTACTGTATAGGGACGTTGGCAGAGGTGAATGTTTCGAATTCAATTTGGAATTATCATTTTATGGTTATAATTTTGTCTTTACTCTATGTTGAAATTTGAAAGTTATGAATTACTATTTTGTATTTTTTATCCTAACTGGAACACTAAAAATTCTGAAGGAATTTAATCTGTTGCACAAGATGATTGTTGAATTACCTGAAAATCGAATTATGCGTTTGGCGAACTTGACTTCGATAAATTTTTTTGCTCAAACTACATTTTGTAAAAATTTTTTCGGCATTATCGCATCGCATTCTATTGTCGTTCACACAAGTTCAGACTGGAATATATCCATTCATCATAGTCATACATGTTAATTTCTAATGAGCACCTTTTTGTTTATCTGAATTTTCTGTAGAAGAAATCTATTACTGAAAATTATTCTCCCATAGACTATACGCATCATATCAGGGTGTTTTATGTGAGCCTGAAAAACATTAGAGACATAGAGAAATTTACCAGGTCTCCAGTAATTTCACACTCACTTGGAAAAAGTTTTACACAAAGCTAGTATGTCCCTATGGACATGTCGGAGGATTTGGGTTCAGGTCCCAAACTAATCCATTGGATTTTTGTGATGATTGTCGGACCAATGACCACTTATGGTGCAATTGCCTGGTGGCCGAAGGCTTTACAGAATACGGCCCAGGCGAAGCTCTCTGGCCATCACCACACCGTCAGCGGCTATGGAGATCCTTCTAGATCTACCTCCTCTCCACATTTTTCTGGAGAGGCCAGATGGACTGCATATAGACTTGTGCACATTGACAATTGCACTAATCAATTAAATGCAGAGTGCAACACTGGCAGACACATCATTTTGGAAATGATCTCTGACTTTATGCGTCCAACTGTGAAGTACGAACTGCCTCATAAAGTACCGTTCCCGAGTAGAGAGGACTGAATCCTCCGTGAGAAAGCAAAATTAAGAGCAGATAGTTGTTGGTTCACAGAAGGATCAAAAACACCTTCCAGTTCTGGTGCAGGTGTTTTCAGTCATACAACCAGGACAGAGATACCAACCTGCCTATACGACTGTATAGCGGAAATTTACGCTATTGAATTGTTTGCGGAGGGATTGAACGAATCCAAACTCATACACAAGTCAATACAAATATTTTTGCACAGTCAAGCGGCATTGGAAGCTCTTAGCTCCTACCAAGCAACGTCTATATTGGTAGCATATTGCCAAAAACGACCCTCCTCGATAAAAAGACTAAACAGATTTTCTCTGGTCTAGATTCCTGGCCATACTGGTCTGAAAAGCAATGAGCCTGCTGACTCCCTTGCAAAGAAGGGTGCTGCAAGCAGCTTCATCGGACCAGAACTTGTCATTGGCATTGCTTTAGGCTTTGACAAAAACACCTGGTTGGCAAGAAGATTTATGGACTTCTGACAGGATCTTCCAGGATTGGGCACTGCAAGGCGTTTATACCAAACAGTCATTGGACTGCAGTAGGGATGAACTACGATGTCTAACAGGCCTACTTACAGGTCACTGTCATATGAATCATCATATGCGGAGATTCGGACTGGTTTTCAAAGTTTGGCAGAGCCGTACTCTTAACATCTCTCCTGAAAGACCACTCATCATAAGCCACAAAAATCCTTGTGGGTTGCGGTGGAGGGTCGAATAGACACACTCACTTTCGACCTAAGCTAACCTAACCTAATTTTATCGTCAGGGCTCTGCGAAAAGGAAAAAACAGAAATTTCGGTTATACCTGACACTCTATTGCATGAGTTTGTTCAGATCACGTAAAAGTAGATCTTATCAATATTAATCACTTACAAAAACATCAGATTACAAATTTCAAAATGATTTTCAGGTATTTAAAACAAATGAATATAACCTAGGTTTGCTAGTGAAGAAGATGATTTATTGTCTACTACCTATCTTCATTCAAAAATTTATTTTATCAATACAATTTTTGAAAGTGATATGCTTTGTCTAGGATATCAACTAGCTTAATCGTATCTGGAGAAATTAGCATGTATCATTCAAATCCGGAAATTTCCATTGAAGTATACCAAATCATCGTCAAAAAATGTTTTGCTACCAAGGATCCACTCTTCTCTTGTATGCCTTCAAGAATAATATTTGAATCCTCAGCCTATCTTCTAATACATCAATTAAAATGTTCGTTAACATCTGCTATACTTGTCTATTTTCTAAGGGTTTCAGTAATATATCTGTATACCATAACTTAATAGAAAATGTTTATAGGATGTGTGAAAATTTTTATCCAGTTGGTTTACTATATGTGCTTAAAAAAAAGATTGTATTTGTGAATTTTCAGATGTGATCTTGATGTAACTAATGGGGTCACACTGATGGAATCAATTCGGCAATGCCCTGAATGAACAATTTCACATTTCATCTGAATATTACACATTTTTTAATCGTGTCAAATTATAAAACTATCGTACCTTCCATTGACAGAATGAGTTCACTATGTTCCAATTTCTCTGCATGTCATGTGAATACCGCAGAAATTTCCAGTGAACAAATTGAATCATTTGCCCGAATTTTAGAACTCTCTTCAAAGCATGTTCCATTTAATTAACATCCTGACATTTTCAATAGTGAAATATCGACTGCAATCTGTCTCAGTTTTAGATATTTCAATCTCCTAATCACGATAGCTTGTACTTGTATATGAATTGATACGCTATTGTTCTATTGTTCCCCCAATAAGTCTGTGTAGATCTGAGTACTAATATTGATAATCCAATCATTGAAAATGAAATAATTCATTTTGTTACCAACACAAACAGCTCCAATTTGCACAAAAACGTGGAAATTAGGTTCTCCTTATCCTCCACCCTGTTCCAGAACTTGCTTTTTCCCTGGAGGGTGAATGGCACCCCTTCACATGCGTAACAAATGTTATATCGAAAATGAATCCGGGTATGGATAGAGTGTCTGATTCTGAGCAACTTTTGTACCATAAAGTTTTTCCTGGAAATCAATACTTCTCGATTTATTCGCCAACCAATTAATCCACGTTTCAGACAACTTCTAGCGAATAACTACAGAAATCAAAAATCCAGCATTTTTTCATAAACTACAAGTTTACTAAACTTTTGTTTTTCAATAGAATACTTTACTTTTTGTATTATTCGAGAAAAACTACCTGTAAACGTGGGTTCATTGGTTACTTTCACTCGTGAACAAGTCAAAAATTATTGACTTTCAGGAACAAATTCACGAATCAGAATTCATAATCAGAATTAGTCAATGTATCCATTGCATGATTCATTTTTCATGAAACATGGATACGGGTCAACTATGTAAAAGTAGTACCAAAATCCGATTTTGTATGCACTTCGCTGCTGTTTGATAAAATTATTCGTGAAAAAGGTCCTTCATTGACTTGACTATGATTGATCTGGTGGAGTCGCCAAGTTTACAGCGCAACGGAAACATTTTGAATACTTTCACATTTATTTCTGCTGCGCCTTCAATAATACTTTTGCTCTGAAGTTGAAATCGATGATTATTTCGAGGACCATTTGTAAGGATTCCTACATTTTTGGAAAAAAAGGTTTTGGCTTTCTTCTTCTTCATCTTCATACAAAAAATGTGGGAATTTTTCAAATGAAGGAAGAAAGCCCCAATTATTTGGAATCCTTGGAAATTCATAAGTATAAGCAAAGCGAATGTAACCTACTGAATGACCAAATTGACCTGGTCTACTTGCCGGTTTTTAGATAAGCGTGCCCACATTGTCACTCGTATTTGGAATAACACAATCTAGAAACATAGAGAATCGAGAGCTGTAGCGCTTAATATCTCTAAGGCCTTTGACCGTGTGTGGCATAAGGGTTTACTGGCCAAACTTCGATGCTATGGCTTGTCGAATCATTTTTGTGTATGGCAAAAATCTAATATATTGTATGCTGACTACAGCACAGTTGTTTTGTCATTCCATTTGGATTCCAGGACATCTGCGATTGATGCACATCTTCAACGGCAGGGATAATATTTATCCAAACTATATGTGACAAATCCTTTATTCATACAAGCACTTTTGTAGAAACCTGCCGCAATACCATCATTCCTAGAATTGTTTCTTAACAGTTTTATTGGGGTAGCATAGTAGGTAAACAACGCTGAAATGATTGCTACTGATACCAATTTATTTTATAGAACGACGCCATTTTAAATGATAACAATCCGAAATGCTGAAATTAGATGAGTTGAAAATATGAAATACCGCACATATAGTGATATTTACAGCTGAAAAGTACATAGATATTAAAACATTACATTATTTAAAACAAAGTGAGTTAAGTGCGACTATAAAATCAATACGTCGATAGAGAATTCTCAAATTCTCCAGTCAAATCTACAGACTCAATTCATCGATATAATCCAAATTCCGTCATATTTTTCCACCCCGGGAAGTGAGTCGGTTTCTGTTGATAGGGTAGGGGTGGAAGATAAATGTGTATATAAACATTGAAGTGTTCGCGTGAAGAGGGATCTGCCAAGTTTAGACAATTTCAAGATTCGACTCGGTAGTGATCCATCCCTTCTATTCCATCATAGACGCCTTGGACCGTGTAAGCGTTCATCATCCTTGGTTCTTTCACCACTGGATTCTCGGATAACGAGTTTTCGAAGGAAAGTCCCCAACAGAATGATGAAAATTTCAATGGAGTGTAGGTTTAAGTGATTTTTATTCCTTCGTGCATTATTTTTGTCATGCATAGTTCAACGAACTTCAACGAACGTTCAAGATAGATCAGGTGATTCACAATAAAAATTGGTCACATTCTTGACGTAACTGAATTATATTTATTCATTCATTCATTCAGTCACATTACAGAGTATTATTCTATTTGTGCTTGGTCCAGGACATAGCAATATGAAATAAAATGAAATACACATTCAAAACAAAACTGAAATTTAAAATTTATTCCCTCGTTTCTAATTATTCAGAATTAAATTGGGTGAAAAGTGTTCCCCATTGACATGTGTTGTAGTGATGCGTTTATTATGAATGAAGTAACTCTTCAGATTGACACTACTTCAGCGGTTCCAGTTCAAGAATAAGTTCCTTATTTTTCTGTCAGTACTACTAAATGTCGAATTCATTTTCCACTACTTATTTCAAACAATCGGTATCTCTGTCAACAGTGTTCGACCCAATCGCCCACGGTTTTGAAAGTTACTTCTGGGGCTAGATTGAACTTTTTGTTATTGCCGGAGACTCCACAACTCAAATCAACCTTCTTCTCTCGACTGAAAGAGAAAAAGTTGTAATTTCTCTCCCGTTTAATTTTCACACAAAAGGATGCGACAGAAACCCACCATATTTTACTGCATTGAATATCTTTGTTGCGACTACAACTTTGTGTATTATACACAATTCAGGGTTTAAAACGGGGCTTAATCCTGCAACATACTTGTCATTTACACAACAATAGATCATTAGGAAGATTCATTGTACCGTAGTCGTCTCATAAATCTTGAATCTGTTAAATTGAAAGAATTATCGCAAAAATTCCATTTAACTTCATTATTTCAAGGGAGGCAAGATACTCCTGCAGATATTATGAATGTGTAAGCTCTGATGATGTATTTTAGTTTCGAATTTATGATATGCCAATTTCGAATCTTCACAATCAATAATAGTTTAAATCATTTCACAACAACGGATACAATATCATTTTTTAATGTTTCTTTCGTTAGAGATCTGAATTAGAAGCAGAGATAAAGTCAAATAGAGTTCGACGAACGGGGCATAAATAAAAACATTTTCATCATACTTCAATGCTTTATAATGGTTCAAATCTTATTTGAGTGACCGCAAACAAAAAGTTGAAATCATTTCAGATACGAAGAAAAATAATATAGGTATTCCACAAGGAAGCATAACTGGGCCAATTTCAGTCATGGTTTTTATCAATGATATTCAAGAAATTTTGAAGGACAACAATAATGATTCTTATCAGATAACAGGAGTTATTTAATATCAGACAACCGTTTGCCAGATTTAATAATCAAATTAAATGGATTGATTTACTGAATAATGAGATGATGTATATTGAGTGAAGGAAAAACCAAACATTCTCTTATTTCGAACACAACAATAAAAAATTGAAACCCCATCATTGGTGAAGATACTAAGAAATGAAATAAAAATAGAAAACTATACAAAATTTTTAGGAAACTATTTTCATGAGCACCGTCATTGACATGCATATATAATTAATCTGAAAAAAACAACTTATGAAATAGTTTATAGTACTGAAGTTGTTAGCCTCAGTTAGATTTGGCATAATTTTTGGGAACGAAAGTTTTCGCCGTTCTACTTCTCCTTCTTGATACAAAAAATGTGGGAATCTTCTAGAAGAAAAACCCCTTTCAAAACAGCTATTTTCATATAAACATTGGATTACAAGAGAGAAAAATACAAGAAAAACAAATACTTTTACAAAAACGCTGAAAAATACTTTTCTCTATTCTGTTTGTATTCCAAACATTCACAATGGGATCGAATCATACATTATTCATAGGATTCCTACACGATATAATAATTGAAAGAAGTAAGATTTTACTTACATGGAACACTGTCATCCTCCCTGCTAGACATCCGATGTTTCGCCGTAAGACACTTGCCTTATCGGCTCTTCTGTAGCAAATGCGGATAATATTATAAGAAAAAACACTCAATCCCTTCATAATTACGGTGTTTCGTCACGGAATGGTTTGAATCCACCCAGGCGGCAATTAAGTCGCTCAACTCATTTCAAGTCATTTCAAGAATGGTGAGAAGTTGTCTGCGGGGTAGCGAAAGCATGTATGAAGACGTCCATAAATTCATAGATGCAAACCGAATCGACAGATTAGTGAAATTAGCTCCCAGGATGAGGAAGGCGAAAGAGTTCATAAAGAAACCATCGCCCAGATTCATGAAAGACCTGCTAAACCACAACCGTAAGGTTGTAAGGGTAGTAACGGATCTAGTAACGGGGCATAGCCGACTCAGGACACCTATGAGCAACATGGGTCTGCCGGAAGAAACCCAATGCAGGTTATGTCAAAAACAGGAAGAAACCGCACTGCATGTGCTCTGTGAAGCGAAGCGATAGCAAAGCTGAGACAAGCAAGATGCAGGGAAGATAAACTAGAGGCTGTCAGCTATTTTAAGCGGTTAGTGTCAAGGCTATGGAGTCTCATCAAAAAGATCAAGCTAGACAATGAGATCTAATAACCAAGGTGCATCATAGAAGTTACGTCGGTTGAGGCAGAAAGTGACGTCATCACACCAGTCAGGTTTGCCTCTCAACTCGCCCAGGCAACCAGAGTGCACCAAATTGTCACGTGTTGTCCTCTCATCCAGTTAGCTAGGCGGTGAACCAATCAGAGTGTACCAAGTTGCCACGTAGCGTCCTCAAACTTCACGCAGCTCGCCATCTAATCAGAGCGCACGCTTTTGCATCTCAGAACATCGTGGCGGGAGATTTGAATTTTCTGTGGACATGAATAATCCAAACAGATAACCAGTCAACAAGACAGACCACCCAGTCACGTGGCGCGCTCACGTCAGCCCACCTTTTTGCTCAACACATTTTTGTTTCATGACGTCATAAAAAAAGTTTTTGTTGGAGAATTGAACACAGGTCGTTGGTATGATAGACTTGATCGTTAGCCTCGACACTGCCATTAGATATTGAAAGTAATTGCGAACTGTGATGTATTAGCTATTGAAAATAAAGACTTTTATTATTATATTATCATTATTATTGCCCTGAAGAAATTCGTAAAACCTGTTTACTTCCAAACGAGACCTCGGGGAGTTTCTCATAGTGATCATTTATATAGTTTTATGTGAATGTAGTTCTGAGCTTTCAGTGATAACATTGTATACTTTCGGTTTTTGAGATTATTCACTGACGATTCCGATATAATCACGTGATTATTGTCAAAATGAGAATGTGATCCAGTCATTTCACTTTCTGAGAAACATATATCAATATCTTCCCGTTCTATCGATCGAATTTGAACTAATTTTGAAAGTGAACCGTCGAGAGGAAATACCACTCAAATAAATGCGTCCCTTTCTTTGTGTTCCGAGCGTCAAGAATGATCCAATCGACCCCTCAATGAAATCAATCTGACCTTGTGGAAAGTGGAAGCGTCCCGGATTAAATAACGAGAGATCCCGCAACAACAAAGATGTGATAAACGTCGTCCCACCTGAAAAAATGTGTACAAGAAATGGAAATGGATTGTTCCATCTCCGAGCGTGGTTTGTCTGGAGCGATAAGTACCAAATTGAGGGAAAGCTGTGGTCCAACTAACCCTGAGGGACACATTCCGCCGTTCAACCGACTTCTGTGATAACTAGCTGAAGTCGAAACTAATAATATATTGGAGGTCAAGACAGTGCCGGCCTTTGTCCAGGCCATCATCGTTTTCCCCTCTGAAATATCTAGCAGGAGGCGCAAAATGCATGCAAAAAAGAATTGAATGGTTCAGTCAAATCTTTTTTTTACATATGTTGACAGTTTTTGTCATCTAGAGTACAATAGCAGCTACCGTTACCGAAATATGCGACTTGAAAACTGCGCCTTGACTGAAAGTTAATGTGACGTCATGAGATATTTATCATTATCGGTACAGCGCCTGAGCCACTTTTGAACTGTTATTAAGCAAAGCATTTGATGTTTGAGGTCTGAATGAATATGTGTTCAGTCAATCCTGGAAGACACTACATGGTTATGTAATATTTCAATAAGAATGAATATAAGCATGTCTGATGTCACGTTATTCAAATTCAAACATTTTGTAGCAATGAGATATGAAAGTGAAGATATATATTTGAATTCAATGATGTACTCGAGTGATAAATACAGTTTGAAAAAACTAATCAATATAGTTTATTCTATGATTTTCACTATAAGGGTTTTACAAAAACCGCGACACGTGTTTCGCTATACAATAGCTTCTTCAAGCATAACTGAGAGTTACTTCTAAATTACAACCTTAGATACTATAACCTAGTACCTATTCGTCTACCTAAGTAATACATCTACCTGAGAAATATACCTGGAAAAGTCAGGTATCAATACATTTTTCAAAAGTCTACCTGTAAATATACCTAACTATTTTTACCTGCGAATGAACAGATTCAATAATGGCGAATTATTCAATTCAGTTTGATCGTTCATAAGATGGTGAGAGTTTTTGAATTCGTTTATTTCCATTCTCTCCAACAGGTTAAGTTTCCAACCTTTCTTCTGGAAATGGAGGGGTTCGTATTCATGGTTGAACTCTTGTCCCTCTGAGATTAGATCACTGGCATATGTGGAATTTATTTTTCCGTTCTGAAAACTATATTTGTGTTCCTTTATGCGGGTTTTGAACCTTCTTCCAGTTTGACCCATATAAAACATCGGACATAACCCACACGATAATTTATACACTCCTGATTTTTCTGAAACTGAACTTTTATCTTTGTTATTTTCAATGTGCATGCCCAACTTGTTGTTGATTTTGAAAGCGGTATTTACACCTTTGCTTTGTTCTTCTCTTCGAATTGGGTAAACTTGTTTTAAAGCTTGACTATATAACTTCTCTGATAATAAAGAATGTATAGACCACTATCATAATCATTGTTGATGGCTATTTGCTTTATTATATTCAGTTCTTTATTGAAATTCGCTTCGGACAAGGGTACATTTATCAGTCTGTGGATGTACCCTGTTCATTCGCAGGTAAAAATATTTAGGTATATTTACAGGTAGACTTTCGAATGTATTGATACCTGACTCTTCCAGTTATATTTTTCTGGTAGATGTATTACATAGGTAGACGAATAGGACTGAAACTAATGGCGACTCCTAGATGGCCATGTATATTGAATATTTGGTGACGTCTAGCACCCTTTTTGCTGAACCGCATCTTTGAGATTGTTATCTGCTTCGGATCAACACAGAGATTTTTTTCTTCGATATTCGTCAAATCACGTGTTAATTTCATTTTCAAAATGAGAAAAGTTAAAATGGACCTATTATTTTCATACGCGCAGCGGAAGATCAATACGCGAACGTAAAAAGTGCGCTCTCCTCCTAACTTTTGAACGAAAGGAAATTTACGTAGAAAGGGATCATTTTTACTACGGTTATATATCGTACACTTCATTTGGCAGGAATTCCCTCGAAAACATCCAAAGACATCATATCAGATGATCTAGTGGGCCATTCTAATGGGCCACAGCTACCGGTTTTGGATAACTGACAGACCCAAATGTGTTTTCAACTGATGTTATATTCCAACAGGATGAGCTATGTCAGCATTACAACAAGCTGGTTTGATAAAGACTAGATAAATAGACAAACGTGGTCCATCAGATGGCCCACTAGATCACCTGATATGACGAAACTACATTTTTTTTGAAGAATTCGCAAAATCTAAAGTACATGTTACCCAAGTACAGTCTATTGCAAAACCTGTGACTAGAGGCGTTGATTGTATCATTGATGAATACACCTCATAACTATATTTTGCGCATCAGTATATGTTTTTGAGTTATTGTGAGGAAAACGCAATTTTTTGCAAAATCCCCTCTTCACTTTGAAACTAGGCATTTTGGACCATCAAACTGGATAATTTTTCAATTACATAACGTGAATTCTAAAATAAGAGAGGTGATTTTCAATTGAGCTGGTAATTATGGGGTAATTCTCACATTTTTCTCTTGCCGAAAAAATATGCTAGCGATTTTCGCAAAGAAATAAAAAAAATTCAACCACTTCAAGAAAGGTTCTATGAATTCCCCCTCGGAAAATTCATTGTTTTTCAGTTACCCCACGTTGGAACTTCCAATTTTGGCTTTTGACGAATAAGAAACAACTTTTAACAAGCTATAACTCTGTATATATTGAGTCGACAGAAACCATTAACTCACAATTTTTTCACAAGATACATTTCACTAAATTTTTAAGTTATTCGCCGATAAAAAATTTAAAGAATTGGGTTCATTGGTGTGAAAATTGATATATTCTCTCGCGAATAAGTTAAAATAGTATTGACATCCAGCAAAAACTGTATATAACAAAAGTTGCTTGGAATTAGTCAATCCACCATTCTTGAACTCATTTTCAATGAAGCTCATCTCACTTTCGAAAAGGGTTGGTATCCACCTCAGGGTAAAAGCAACCCAGTTCCATAGTAGGGGGTGAGTAGAAACCTAAATTTAAATTTTCATGAACATATGTGCTGTTTGGCAAAATTATATAGGAATAAGGTCATTGACTGGACTATAAGGGCTAGTACAATTCATTGTAACAGTTCACGTTTGTCATTGGTTCTCAGTTTCACTTCAAATAGAGTGGTCAATCATTTTTATATTTTCAATTTTTTTTCTCTGATTATAAAATAAACCACATCCCATGCTCGCGTTCAGAGAAAACTTCGCTGATATCCGGCCTGTTTCATGTACTAACGTTACATATCATGAATAGGTGTGAGCCACAATAAACCCTTGCGGGTTGCGGTGGAGGGTCGAATAGACCCACTCACTTTGGACCTAATCTACCTTTATTCATTGAGGATTTTAATTTTCATGACAGTCTTAGAAAAAAAAAATTCATTATTCTCAGGACTTGTGAATTTTCATATAGCAAAAATTATTTTCAAACAGATTTCAGAAACAGAAAGACAGAGTTATCAACTTTTTTTCTGTCATAATAGTTTGAGTTTTTCTGCGTCATCAAGTAAATTTTTCGTTCACTATAAGAACATCCCTTGATGTAGAATTTGTTTCAAACAACATCGTCCTGAATAAAAATAAAAGAAAAACCGATAAGTTTTCCCCTGAAAGCGATGCACCGCTGGATAAGGGAAACAAGTGTTCACCCCTAAATTGGGGTGTCCGAATCCAAATTGAAAAGCATACCTTCTTCTCAAACTTAACATATTTACCTCAGTAGTCGCGTCCACTGATATATCACTTCTATTTGTGTTGAATAATAGCTTTGTGTGATAAAAATTCTCCTCAGTCTCAAAAGCACCAAACAAATTCAACTTTGGGAAAGCTTTAAATGGGGTATTAACTTTCAGAGTTACGTTATATATCCTTTCTTCGGCGCCTTTTCTTTCCCTTAGATACTATAACCTAGTACCTATTCGTCTAAGAAAATTTCTCCAAAGAAAGCCTGGATGGTTTACCTGTATGAGTTACCTTCATAGAATAAATAGGATTAGCTAGACCAGTCCTTAGTTTTAATCTTCCTCTTTGAAGATGATCACTTGGTGATCGAAACACGTGTAGAGGTGTTAAAAATAACGATTTGGTGTTGGAAAAAAACTCCAGTGATATTCATTACTACACCAAAGGTTCCAAACAGTGCATCATAAGTACAAACTTCAACTGAATCGGATCTGCTCCCATTCAGATTCCAAAAAGATTTCACTCGCTGCACACATCACAGGGTTAGATATCATTGAGCTTCTTGCATATCGACCCACGATTGCTTCGGTGAGAAATGTATGATTAGATTTGATTCATCTATATCCTCCTGGGAAGAATGGGCTAAAAATGATGGAGGCGAAGAAACAAAGGTTGGAATTTGGGTTCGCACTTCCGTTGGAAGTTTAGCTCTGAAGAATGCGAGAAGTATGAATGGTATCGAAACAATTGTAGAGCACGAAAGACAGAATGTAGCCATCATGAATGTCTTAGACGAGCCTGGGGGAAAGCAAAAACGTGAGGATGGATGGAATCAGCAGAATTTTTGACGTGGAAAGAGGAAAAGATTCTGGTCGAACACATGAATGTCAAGAATTTTGTGTAGGTTGTAAGCACCCCGAATGAAAGGGGAAAGATATACTAGAATGGGTGGCTGAGAAAGGATTTACGATGGAGAATTGTAGCGAAGTTTCTGCCACTTTCTCCAGTAATAGGGGCTGAAAGTTGGGTGGGCCTGACCATAAGTGAGAATTCGCAGTTGAATGACTGGGAAGTATGCATGCATGAAACTCTTGGTGACCACAGAATGATTGATTTCCAGTTGGTGGGGTTTTCCAAGATGAGGAGAGCAAAGGTGATGAATATATAAAAACCCTACTGGACAGGAATCGAAAGTCTGCTGCTGGTTAGATACGGATGACGAAATTGAAAGAAAAAATGAAGGATGCCAATATGAGATTTATACCTAGGTGTGAAAAAATTATCGGTGTGTGTTAAATTGTATGTAACATAATAGTGAATTTGCAGGTATTATAGTCGTTCAGCTATAGTATAGATTAATTGTGTAACACATATATACATATACAGACATATTTACATATATAGATTTATACACATAGGAAAAATGAGAGGATGATAAATATCCAGAAACTTGAAATTTCGTACGTCATTGTATTCAGGAGTTTGAAAGAGTTACCAACTGTTCCACATGTGAGTGAAGAATAGGATGAAGTTTCTATAGACAGCTGTTTTGAGTTCTTACCTTTATTAGTTCAGTTTGATTTTGATAGTCAAAATTCAGTCCAAGGATATACCGGCGACCTGCCTCTATATTCAGATCGAAGTTTGATTCGATAGTTTTGAAAGATGAAAACGGTGTGGTGATTTCCAAGTAGTTTTTCATTTTGAGTATATCCTGGAAATAGAAAAAATTATTGAGTGATGGATATATTTTTGAAAAACAAAGAATTTTCAATGCAAAAGCAATTTCACTTCTGATTGTTTCGAAAATACGAGATGAAATTCTTATGCGAAAGCTGCAGCAAATACAAACTTCAATGAATATTACTGGAGTTTTTTCCCAACACCAAATCGTTATTTTTAACACCTCGACACGTGTTTCGATCACCAAGTGATCATCTTCAAAGAGGAAGATTAAAACTA